AGCCGCTGCAGGCTCCGGAGCAGGAAGCTCCGCACGCGGCTCCGCTCGGGCGCCGGCAGCAGCTCCAGGCTGCCCAGGGCGGCCGCCTGCTCGTCACAGCGGCCGCGCGACAGCGTGAAGGCCACGACCGGGAGGAGATCCCGGGACTGGAGCACACGGAGCAGCGACCTCCATAAACCTGCGTCCTGGAACGAGGAATGGGGATATGGGGACGTCAATGACATAGACACGTCCCTATGGACACGGCCCTATGGGGACACCCCTATGGGGCAGGGTGAAGGCCACGACCGGGAGCAGGTCCCGGGACTGGAGCACACGGAGCAGCGACCTCCATAAACCTGCGTCCTGGAACGAGGAACGGGGATACGGGGACGTCAGGGACGTGGGGACATCCCTATGGACACGGCCCTATGGAGACATCCCTATGGGGCAGTGAAGGCCACGACCGGGAGCAGGTCCCGGGACTGGAGCACACGGAGCAGCGACCTCCACAGACCGGCGTCCTGGAACGAGGAACGGGGACACGGGGACGTCAGGGACGTGGGGACATCCCTATGGACACGGCCCTATGGAGACACCCCTATGGACACGGCCCTATGGACACGGCCCTATGGGGACATCCCTATGGACACGGCCCTATGGACACGGCCCTATGGAGACACCCCTATGGACACGGCCCTATGGGGACATCCCTATGGGGCAGTGAAGGCCACGACCGGGAGCAGGTCCCGGGACTGGAGCACACGGAGCAGCGACCTCCATAAACCTGCGTCCTGGAGCGAGGAACGGGGACACGGGGACGTCAGGGACACGGGGACATCCCTACGGAGACACCCCTATGGAGACGTCCCTATGGACACGGCCCTATGGGGCAGGGTGAAGGCCACGACCGGGAGCAGGTCCCGGGAACGGAGGTCGCGGAGCAGGGAGCTCCAGACACCGGCGTCCTGGAACGAGGGACGGGGACGTCAATGACACGGGGACACCCCATGGACACAGCCCTGGGGAGACGTCCCTATGGAAACGTCCCTATGGAAACGTCCCTATGGAGACGACCCTATGAAGACATCCCTATGGACGCGTCCCTATGGAGACATCCCTATAGAGACATCCCTATGGAGACATCCCTATGGACGCGTCCCTACAGAGACAGTCCTATGGAGACATCCCTATGGAGACGTCCCTATGGAGATGTCCCTATGGACCCATCCCTACGGAAACGTCCCTATGGAGACATCCCTATGGAGACATCCCTATGGACCCATCCTTATGGAGACGTCCCTATAGACACGTTCCTATGGACACGTCCCTATAGAGACATCCCTATGGATGCGCCCCTATGGAGACGTCCCTATGGAGACCTCCCTACGGAGACCTCCCCATGGACACGTCCCTATGGACACGTCCTTATAGAGACATCCCTATGGACACGTCCCTATGGAGATGTCCCTATGGACCCATGCCTACGGAAACGTCCCTATGGAGACAACCCCATGGACACGTCCCCATGGAGACATCTCTATGGACACGTCCCCATTGACACGTCCCTACGGAGACCTCCCTATGGACACGTCCCCATGGACACATCCCTATGGACACGTTCCTATGAAAACATCCCTATGGACGCATCCCTATGGAGACACCCCTATGGACACGTCCCTATGGACACGTCCCTATGGAGACGTCCCTATGGACCCATGCCTACGGAAACGTCCCTACGGAGACCTCCCCATGGACACGTCCCTATGGACACGGCCCTATGGGGCAGCGAAGGCCGCCACGCGCAGGGGGTCGCAGGAGCGGGGGACGCGGAGCAGGGACCTCCCCAAACCAGCGCCCCATAACGATCCATGGGGACAGGGGGACCCCCCAACGCTATGGGGACGCCCCATGGGGCCGCTGGTGACACGCGGTGACGTGGGGACCCCCAAGTGGGAGCCGAGAGGGGCCAGGGACCCCGACCGGGCGCCCCGGGGACCCCCAAGTGCCCCCAATCGGGCACCCATAGTGCCCCATAGCGCCCCATAGTGCCCCAAAGCACCACAGTGCCCCATAGTGCCCCATAGCGCCCCATAGTGCCCCAAAGCACCACAGTGCCCCATAGCTCCATAGTGCCCCATAGCACCACAGTGCCCCATAGTGCCCCATAGCGCCCCATAGCTCCATAGATCCCCATAACACCACAGTGCCCCATAGCGCCCCATAGTGCCCCATAGCACCACAGTGCCCCATAGTGCCCCATGGCGCCCCATAGCGCCCCAGAGCACGCCCACAGTGCCCCATAGCCAAACAGTGTCCCATAGTGCCCCACAGCGCCCCATACCCCATGGTGCCCCATAGCACCCCACAGCAGCCCACAGCACCTCAAAGCACCCCACAGTCCCATGGTGCCCCATAGCACCCCACAGCACCCCACAGCCCCCCAGCGCCCCCCAGCACCCCACAGCCCCCCGGGGGGGTCGGGACCCACCTGTGTGGGGCTGGTGCCCCCCGGGCCGGGCTGCTTGGGCCCGAAGTTGTGGCCGCCCTTGGGGCCGCTCTCCTTCTTGGCCTCCACCGCCGCGTAGTAGCTGTGGGGCAGCCGGGGGGCAGACATGGGGGGGACATG